ACCAGTGTCCCCAGCCTCCTAACTCAATCTGTCCCCTGGGAAGCCACATTATCACTGAGAAGATTCCCTCCCCGTGTTGAACAGTAGAACAGACCAAGTGTCTCTAGAATGGGATTGGGAGGCCTCTTGCGGAACCGCGGGGTCACCTGGAGGCTGGGATAGCTGGGTGACCCCAAGATGATCGGGGACCTCAGCCCCAACCTGCTTCATCCACTGTTGGGGACAAAGTGGGCTGGCACATCCCTGGGATGGTGTCACCCCCATCCCAGCCGGGCTCATTTAGAGGGACCCTGATGTCTAACGGAGCCTTATCCTGTGTCCCAGCCCCAGAGAAGGCTGAGTCCCTGTGACAGAGAAAGAGCAGTCACAAAGCCCATGCACGACAGCAGGGTGTCAGGGGCCAGGTGAGGGGACAGGGGACAGGACACAGAGGCTCTAGGCCTGCTTGGTCCCTGAGGGCTGTGCACTGGGGCATGTCCTTTCATCTCCCTGAAATGCCATCTGTCACTTTTCTTAGGTTCTTGGAGTGGGTCCAGAAGACACCAGCCCCACCCAATACCCCAGAAAGGGCGGGACCGGGAGAGCACAGAGCCCCCGAAAAGTCCAGCGGGGTCCAGGCGCCTTGTCCCTGCCCACCCCCCTCCCTGCTTCCCTCCTTTCCCGACCTTCCTTCTGGAACAAGGGTCACAGGTCCACTTGGTCCTGACAACTTGAGACCCGGGACCAATCCCGTCCCCGTCATTTGCTGGTCCCCACGGGCAGCCCCTTCCTTGACTTAGCAAACATGTCCCCTCCTCTGTGCTGTGTCCAGGGCTCTGTGGTGCTGGGGACACCGTCCTGCCTGCAGGGATCCCTCGGCGCAGCAGGGTGACAGTGACAGTTTGCCGTGTCTCTGCTGGAGGCTCTTGGTCCCACGGTGGCCCAGTCACCTGGGTCAGGGACCTTGCGAGGATGGGCCAGCAGGACAGCCTCGGGGACGGCCCTCCACCCACAGGGAGGCAGGGCGACCGTGTGCTGTGGCCCGGAGGGTCGGCAGGCGCGAGGAGGTGGCCAGGCTTGGGGGCCTCCTGGCCGCGCTGGCCTCGCCTGACCTGGAGCCGCTGGGGTTGTTTTTCAGCCGTGCTGGGTTCCGGGGTCCCTCTCCCCAAAATCCTCAACATCGACTTCAGCAACGCAGACATCGACGTCTTGGAGGTAAGGGGCACAGCGCTCTGTCCCCCGCTGCCCTCTGTCCTCACCTCTGGCCACAGCTAAAGGTCCAAGCAGTAATTGGGGAAAAGGAGAGAAGGGGGGCCCTGAGGCCTCTCCCTCCAACATAGGAGACGAGGAACAAAGAAAAGGGCCACTGAGAGTCCTCAAGGCAAGTCCCAGGTTGACAATTCCTTTTGCAAAAGGCTCGCCCGTCACACTGCTGACTCTTCCTCGCCCTGTGACCTTGACATTTCTGGTAGCTCTGGCCTGTGGGTGGGATGGGCTTCCACTTGGACTGAGTGCTGTCCTCTCCTGGCTGGACTGAGGCCATGTGTTTTTGGCAAGGACATCCCAGGAGTGGAACTTGGAGCTGTCACTAGCCCCCTGTCAGGGACACCGTGTGGGACACCTTTGTTTCCATCACTCGCTGGAGGTGGCTCCTGCCAGGTCCCTCCAACTGAAAAGCTATTATTTTCCACTTTGTCCCCCATCAGTAGCTGGTTCTCCCCCACCTTCATTTAAATTTTTATTATTTAAAATCAAATTTGTAGTTGTAGTGGGACACAGTACCTTTATTTTATCTATTTATTTTATGTGGTGCCAGGGATCGAACCTGGGGACTCGCAGGTGCCAGGCGAGGCTCCACTGCTGAGCCACAGCCCCGGCCCTTCTCTTTTTATTTTTTTAGTTCTGATTCAAAAAGTGCTTTTTCCGTGGTGCACCGTGATCATGTGTCACAGCGGGTTCATCATGTCCCGCTCGCACCCGCACACGACTCCCATCCCTGGCCACCCATGTGGGCCCTGGCTGTGGCTCTTGTGGGCGTTCGTCACTGTCCTGTTGGCCTAACTGTGATTTTTGAGTTCTTCCTCAAGGAAGGGCCGACCTTCCTCCCCGTTTATTCATTTACTTTGTCAGTTGTTCACTCAGTCAATGTGAACTCGTGGATACTCATTTTTCTTCTTTGAGGTTTGATTTTTACTTTTGTCACTTATTTTGTTGGGGAACTTCTCTGTAGTCCTGTGGAGTGGATCTTGGTGACTGCAGAGGGCTCAGGCCTGCGGGGCTTATTTAGGGGAGGGGGATGGGGGTCAAGGAGGGCTGTGTCTTGCCCAAGGTCCTCTGAACAGGAGGCCCCAGGCCCATGGGACCCCTTCACCGAGTCCATTCGGAGTCACCGCTCCCCTGAGTCACACTCGCCCCGTCCACAGCAGCAGGCAGGTGTCAGGCCGAGGCTGAGGCCAGAGCCCCGCCCCCACCTGCTCACCTGGTTCTCTCTTCTGCCCTCCAAGGACCTTCTGGTGCTCAGCGCTTGAGTGACAGAGGCAGAGACGTTGTTGGAAGAAGCCAGAACCAGCCCTGGAGAGGACTGGCCTGGACACGGTCCAGGGCCCTGAAGCCCTGAGGCCTCCACAGCAGGCCCCTCCCAGCCTCCAATCCTCTACTCCACCTGCCTCCACCTGACAGAAAGGATCCAGCCACTGCCCCTTTGGCAAACTGTACCATGCAGTCCCCGGGCTCTGCAGGGGAGGAGGTGGCCCTGAGGACTGGGCCTCAGGCAGATCTAACTCCAGGAGTTATCTTGACTTTCAATAAAACTTTCCCTTTCCGCATGGGGCCAGCCCCTGTGGCTGCCTACGGGTCTGATTCCTTCCCTCCTTGGCTGTGTCCCCGGGGCCTGGCAGCCGAGCTGCGTGTGGCTGGAGGGTTGCCCAGTCACATCCGGGGACGGGGCTGAGCAGCAGGCCTTTACTCCAGCTCTCCACACCTTTGTTCTGCACTCCCCTGGGCGGGTCCTTCCTGCCTCAGTTTCCCTTCCCGCGCCTCAGCCCACAGGGAGGGCCAGGACGCAGAAACCACAAGTTCAAGGTCACCTGACATCTCACAGCCACGATGACCCAGGTCCCCTCCCCTCCTGATTCCCACCTCGACTGTCTTCCCCGGGGCCAGAGGAGGGTGGGAGGGGAAGGATAGCTCGGCTCCCCTCGCCCCAGCCTCCCGGGGGCGCTCCTCTGCTGGGCACCGAGTGCCTGGCGAGCCCTGAACTGAGACTCCGCCGCCTGATCTCCCTGAACCTCAGGAGAGCACCCCAGGGTTCTCACAAGGCTGGCCTTGGCTTCAAAAGTGGGGAAACTGAGGCACAGAGAAAGGCGGTGACTGGCCCAAGGTCACCCAGCTGAGGTGTGGGCCTGTTAACTCCAGGCCCATGTCCTAATGGCCCCCTGCAGCCTCGAGTCACAAATTCCAGGGGCCCCCAAAGTCACACAGTTCCCAGAGGAGAGGGCGGGGCCTGGAGAGTCCCACTAACGCCACGGGACGGGTCAGCTCTCCCACGGTTCACTGGCCAAGGTCAGTCGGAGACCCTGCCTGACCTGCCCAGGCAGAGAGAGGGACTGGACACGCGGGTGGCCACAGTGACGTCTTCCGCACTCCCCCGTGTTTCCTGGTCGGAGGGGGCTGGGGCAGTGGCTCAGGGGGCCTGGCTCCTGTGGCCATTCAGGTTTTGCAAAGATACAAGGTTCCTCCTGCTTCGCCCCAAGCCACTGAAACCACAATCACAGCCAGAGGGTGATCCCGGAGGCTCCCACGTCGTCCTCTCAGAGCACATCCTTGGCTTCTAGACATGAGGCCCACGGCCGGACATTCAAGGGAAACTAGATCCTGCCACATCACTGTCCCCTCACAGCAACACCCCCCAAGGCTCCTGAAACCCCACGTGCCAGTCGGGAGGGAAGAGGCCGTCTATTAACAACAGCCTGGGCCGGGCGTGGGAACCAAGCCCGTAGTCTCAGCGACTCAGGAAGCTGAGGCAGGAGGATCACAGGTTCGAGGCCAGCCTCAGCAACTTAGTGAGGCCCTAACCCCTGTACAATTTAGCAAAACCCTGTCCCAAAATAGAAAATAAGGGGGGCTGGGGAGGTGGCTCAGTGGTTGGGCATCCCTGGGTTCAATCCTTGGCACCAAAGCTGTGGAGAGCGGGGACAGAGAATGGCAGAGCGCTGTCCAGGTCTGGGAATGTTCCAGGGCGAGGGCTCAGGAGGCCTAGCTGCTGTGGGGTTCCCTGCATGAGGAGCCTCTGAGAAAGAGTCTTACCACCTGGACCTTAATCTCAGGCACCCGGCTCCTGGGACAGAGGAACTCTCCCGCTGGACGACCACAGTGTCTCCCAGCCTGTCCTTCAGTGCTGCCCACGAACAGGTACTTTACACCATGCGCTACACAGGCTCCTAAAATCTGCACGTTGCAACTGTGGAAGAGCCCAAGAAACGTAACCGTCGGAGTACAAAGAGCAAAGCTTGCCGAGTCTTCCGCCCGACGATGAGACGTATATAAACAAAGATCGCTGCCATAACTCTTCAGTCCTGCTTCTCTATCAGGGAGGAGCCTTATCTTCAAGTCACCTGCGTGTGTGAGACTTTAGGTTCCTTATTCCCCTCCACCCCTGGCCGGGAGGGTCCCCCGCTGACAGGACGGCTTTGCATTCACAGGTGTCAGTTGGTGGCCTCATGAGGTCATTCAGGAGCAAGATCTGGGAGTCAGGAGGAGGTGTTCCGAATCCTGGCTCTGTCACTTGGTTATGCCACTTGTGAGGCCTCTAGTGTTCCTTTTCTTTTCTTTTTGTTAACTATCAGCTTTATTTAAAAATGTACAAAATGCTCTTGACATGTAGAACGTAAGCTTTTTGGATTTTTTGAAACTCCACCCAAAACGGACACACCAAGAAATCCATACCAAATTCATCACTCACAGACTGCCAGTTTCATCCACTGATTTAACACTACAGTATTCAGGATGAATTAAAGGATTTAATATTATCAACCCTTGAAAAAGCAGCCATTTATAACGTGCTGTTATAATTAGAACAACCAGTTTTGGGGTAACTGATACAAGGAATTTCAACACCAAGCTTCAAGCTTCCTTA